AGTGTAAGCAAATCCATTTCTCTTTGTAGAATTGACAGGCGTCTGAATTTTGACTGGCGCGATATGACCTTGTATATTATTTTTAGTATAAACGCCCTATACTTCAGCACTATTTATTTATTTCGATCCATAATTCATGTACACTGATTATAATTGAACATGGTGGAAAAATGGGGTGAATGGAAGACAACTGATGCAGTAACAAGTGTTATAATAACTTGTGTGTATGATTGTATGAAGGATTTCAAGCGTGCTTCTGTGCATAAGTGGACTTGTATTTTTGCATGCATATATGCATGTCTGTAGCATCTTTGTGTGTGCCTGCGTATGTGTGTTTGTGTGTGTGCGTGAGTGTGTGTGTTAGAAGGATCTCAGTCTCAGTTGCAGCAGAAAAAATGGAGAAAGAAGACAAAAATTTATTGTCCATGTTTCTGTGCTCCACCATGTCATTTTCTTTTATTAAAAATTTTATAAATCATTTCACACAATTACAATCTTTTTACAGTTCTAAAGGAGTTGTGTCTTTTGTTATGGAAATGGTTCAGGAGAGTATACAGGTAGTTCAGATGAAGTAAGTAATAAGTGAGTGTTATGATGATGTCTTTACCTTTTGACTTCTATCATCATTGTTTATTCTTCGTCTTTTTCTCTTAAGATGTGGCTAATATTAATAATACAGTCTACCACACATGATAGTGAAACACATACACACAGCGAACAAATTCTCAGGTCCCTAGGTTTTTTTTATACATAAGTCCTATATATTCTTGGTATTTTTAAAATGTGTACAGTGGAAACCTGATATAACAGGGATGGTGGGAGTAGAGAAAATGTCCTGTTATATCCGATCCCTGTTATATCAGAAATGCAAGGAAAGAAAGCATTTGTGGGCTAATCCAGCTGTACTTATTCATGGGTAGTTTCCCTTGTCATAAGTACCCATGAACAGATGTTTTGGCACCAATTTTCTCCTTCCTTGCCTCTTTAAACCACATCAGAAGAGCTTGGTCCACAGCATATGCATCTGGTAGTCTCATCTTCTTTCGATCCAGAGCAAACTTTCCATTGGAGTATGCTGCTACTATTTTCTCTCTATCCTTTATAATGGTGTGAAACGACCCTTATGGAAAGTCGAACTGACGACAAATCTCTGCCAGTGGAGCTTGCTTTTTGTCAACAGCCTGGATTATTTAGTATTTTTTGTCAATTGAAAGGCATTTTCTCTTGCGCTTGACATCGTTGGTGACACATTACACGTGCGTGTTGCTAGGTTTCGGGCTAGATCGAGGTCTGCAGCACACGCAGCCCTCTCCCGCTTCACACACCGCGTGTGCTTGCAGTGGCATGGCTTGCGTGAGCGTGCTCCATTACTGCGTTACTCTCTCTCTCTCTCTCTCTACACATTGTTAACGAGCCTTTGTCCCTGCTATAACCGGTTGGGCTCCGATGAGGCCCTGTTATTGCCGATGACTTTTAATAGAGACAAAGAGTAGGAAAAAGCGGGGATTTTAAAAATCCCTGTTATTGCCAGATCCCTGTTATTACCGGGCCTGTTATATGTGGTTTCCACTGTATATATATATAAAAAAGAAAATTAGTATGTAACGAAAAGATTTCCATGCTCCGTTGATTCGCTGTATGCATGCGAGACTGTATCATGCTAATTTGCAATCATTGTTGTACAGTACAACAGACCAACAACACCTGTGGAGGGATTTCTGAATTTTAACTTCCGACTGGATCGAACCAAATGCAGTAGACTTCGTTTAATGTAAAGCCATTTAACATGAAATTCCTGTTAAATGTACCACAAAAGATTTCAAATTCCCCCCCCCCCCCCCCCCCCCCCCCCTTCCCTTACTCCATGCACTGAAACTCTCCTAAATCAGAAATCTGCTAAACACGAAGAAATTCTCTAGTCCAGTAAAGATCACAGCATAAGGGTTTTACTGTAAATGGAGAGCTTTGAAAACTACCCAAACGACTAATAAAGTGTAAAAATATCATCCACTTCAAAAGGGGATCTGATTTTGAGTAAGGGATCATCTGTTCCATAGCTTAGCATGATATCAACTGACCTTACAGCAGCACACCCCTACCAGTGCCAACTCTAGGGATTCTTTGCTTCTACTTTTGCATAATACTTTGCACTTTACTGGATACAAATATGTCTGGTTGTGAACTGTGAGGCGCTTTGCTGTCACTCGCAGACCTGAACTGATTTCCAAGTGGGGACAAATTAATATTGAGTATCTCAGTCTCTCTCACTCTGCTGTAATGCTGTATCCCTCTCAGTACCAGTTGTCTCTGACAGGCAGGATTGAAGCCTCTCTCCTATATGATAATCCAAATTGTGTTGATGGGGCATTAAGTAAAACACCTACTTATTAAACAGTTTTTTTAGTTTTAGTAAGAGTTTTACAGCACTTGCAACACAAAAAGGTCATATATGTGCAGAAGATTAGAAGTGTTACAAGAAAGAGTAACAAACACGAAAAAGAAGGAGGGGAGATTTTTTATAAGAAAGAAGGAGCATACCACACCGGAGCACCCTCCAACCACCTACACTTATTTTTTTAAAAATAATACCCCAAACATATTATCATATTAAAAATTTAAAAGTGGAGTCATATGACCAGATTTGGGGTTTAAAAAAAAAGAAGAAGAAAAAAGACGAACAATACACCACATATGTACATGGGAGAGTTAGTCTGCGTGTGTGTTTTATTTCATCTGCCGTCTTTTTCTGTTCCATTCAGGTCAGGCTTTTCGTTGTCATAGCATGCAGATGGCATGAGTTTCGATTCCCATGAGGGGGGAAGGTTTTTCATCAAGTAACGTATCTCAGTCTGCCTATGAGGATGTTGTAAATATCTGACTCAGCAGCCCATCCTCAAAATGATCTAAATTGTATAGTTGGAGCAGAAAACATATTACAAACATTACAGTCAAACAAAACAAAAACATGAAGATAGTCCACAAGGATCTCAGACAATCATCATATTCAAAAACATCTAGACCAAACATAATTCAGTTCATGAAATCAAAGTAAGCAAATTTAATATCAAAACAAATTAAGAAAATTCAATTAAAAAATTATAATCAGTGCAGGAAATTTTAAAATCCTGAAAACAAATTTGAAGAAATTTCCAGAAAATGCAATACACTGTAGCATGTTTGTCAGAAAATCATATATTATATATATATATGACATTTGTGTACTTGTTGGGGCCAATAAATAATTGTATGGCATTTCTAGCAACAGCAGTATCCAGAACATCAAGGGAAAGACAAAACATATGAAGTAAAAGAAGTGAAAAAAACCCCCAATGATATGGCGAAGGATTCCTTTTGCCAAATCAAGAAAACTGACAACTTTTGTAGCTTTTCACTTTTCGTTTTCACACAGCTTTTTTCACTTACTTCCATTTCACCTTTTCTATCAATCTTCATTCGAACTCGAACAGAAGATTCACAACTTCGGACAAACCTATACCATGTAATATTATGACTTGAACACAACACAGTACAATCAGTCCTTGCGTAGTACGTCACAATATTCCATTATCACAACAGAACCTTGGTAAACTTGATGACGACTAATACCATACACTGTCATACACAATATACCGGGGCATATTTGAAAATTGGAGGAACTGAAGCATTCATGAGCTCTTTTGGTGAATCTGTGTGTGACTGTATACGTGTGAGGGGAGGGGGAGGTGGCATGCATGTTTCCAGGAAAAAAGGGCATTATAAATAACTGCACACTTTCCTTCAGTAAATGGCGTACATTCGCAAGTCATTCCCTAATAGTCTCTTAACATTACCTGAACCCCACCCCAAACAAAAAATGATAGGTAAGCAGCTAGGAAAATGTACAACACAGAGAGCCTACAGCATGCTATTAAAAGTAACAATATTAGATAAAATGCAAGAAATTTGAAAACTTAAAAACCACTGATCTCTCAAAATGCACAGAGGGGTCTTTTTCAGAGTTCTGTGCTCATCAAAAATAAGATCTTCCTTCTAGAACTAGAGGCAAATTCAAATATATAGGCAACAAGTATAGATTTTTATAGGATAACCAGTCCACTTGTTGACAGTGTGCCATGATAATGGGGTCCCCACCTTCCGCCCTGACAGACTATGGTACAACAATCAAAACATCTGTGTAAACACAAGGGAAAATGTTTAGTAAAGAGGATTGTGGCAGACTGGAAGACCATCAAGTGGAACAGTTTTCAGACTGGTCTGGTGGTAAAGCATCAAAGTAGAACACACATTCTGGTTGACCATCCAGTGACCTGGCATGTCTACATTTACACAGGAAGAGCTTAGCATACGGTACTGTCAAGTTCTAATCATAAGGCACTTCACTTGAACAACTGCATTTATCCGATTGCTTTACTTAAAAATGAAAAGAAAATTGCAAGCATTAAAGTGAGAAACAGATTCTTTGACTAAGTCACAATTTTTCATTATCTGTTTACATGTAGTAATGTATTAAAAAGCATAACATTTCAATGTATAACAAGAGAATTTCAATGTGACATTTCACTTTTGGAAATCCCTTACAATCAAGTTTGGATTCTGTCAGACATATATACAGTGGAACTCGGATTCCGAGGTCACCAGGCCTGACCTAAAATCTCATTGAATCCGAGAGTTTGTGATAACAAACATGAGGTTTTGGGTAGAAAATTATAAGCTCTGAGCAAGTAATGTATTATAAAGAGAAGTAACAATTGGTGCCTGAAATGCCTGCATATTATGAGCTGTGCTAAAAAAAAGACAGATTCATTCAAATGCACGCCTGTGTCATCTCGATTGTTTGCCAAAAAGTTGTGTTGCTGTGTAGAGCCTAGCACACAGCAACTTTTGATTCCATAGACCAATGCACAATATTCATTACATAGATCTACGTCAAGTCTAGCTTATCATTGTAATAATGATCAGTTGGGGAAAAAGACTATGACTGTGATGCGTTCCATGCCAGACCGATGGTGACCCCCCCCTCCACCCACCCCCCGACACACGGTCACACGTGTGCAGGCCGCCCATCCGACCTCGATACATGCTAGACTTGACAGGTGCGTGCCAACAACGCATATATGCCTTTATGAAAAAAGGCCGCTGATTGGTCGCATGCAATCGGCAAAGTGAATAGCCTAAAAAAGGTTCACGATGCAGGTGCATTGGATGGTTTCCGGGAATAGACAAAGTTACTGGTGGGAGAAAAATGAGCGAAGCCACGTCTGCGGGGGCTGTTCACCGTGGAAACGACCTTGTTGAATCTGAGCTTGCTGATTTAAGTGCTCGTTGAATCCGGGATTTTTTTTATTTTAAAGAACAAAAAATACGGGGAATCCATCTCCTTTCGTTGAATCCGAGTTCTCGTTGAATCCGAGTTCCACTGTATATCGTATATATGTCATTCGATGAATTCACATAAATTTATGCACCAGATCAAATAAAAGTTATCAGCTTACCAAGTAAAAACTAACAAGCAGACACTCAGACTCTGAATATGAGCTGAGCTGAACTTGGTAAACTGAACTGTGACTAGGGTTTTTACAAAGAAATGATTTTTTAACTAAATTCAGTTTGTAAAAATGTAAAGCAATACCTGCAGTACAATGTCATGTATCACCATCTGGCCAAGACCTTGATGAAAAGTGCAATAAAATAGTCACGAAAATCAGAAGTACCGTAGTAATATAAAATAATATCTAGTGGCTCTGAACACATAAAATTACTGACTCAAGATCATGGTTACAGCAACCTTTACCACAAAAAAAAATAAATCCAATTACACCATCAGTGAAATAATGTTTGGGATTAAATTAACCCAAAAAATTATCATGGTATTTATTTATAACCAGTTTTCAAGACTGAAAAAAATATAAACTCCAAGGGATTAAACTCCATTATAAATAAGACGATGGCTTGGTACAATACTTTTTGATTCTCAATATCATTCTCTGAGAAAAATGGTCATGATACTTTCACTAACTTCCCAAGGGCTTTTATAATTATGCATTCATTTTGATCGAGTAACAGATCGTGATTGCTTCAAGTATGCAATGATGAGTCATCATTTTTTATAAAAGTTGTATTGACTTATTCCATCTGAAAAACCATCTTTCCTCCCTTGAAGCCCTCAGTAGCCTGTCTAATAGCACCTTTATACTCTTCCAAAGCGTAGAATTCACAAGGTGGAGGGGAAAGTTTTCCCTTCTTTATGAGACTGCACAAGTCTGCTAACATTTCGAACCTCAAGAGATCGTCTGCGTGACGATGATTCCACTGAGTGTTCCAATATCCACAGAGTTTGATTTCTTTGAAGATCAGGGCACCTGTTGGCGCCATCACTGGTCTTCGAGACATCCCGCCATATGTGACCATTACTCCACCCTGTCCCAAATAACGGATCAGCTCTGTAGCCGAGTTTCCTCCAACACCATTGAAAGCCAATTTGGGCTTACTGCCCAAGTCTTTCATTAACTTTTTCATTTCTGGTTTTCGCACAAACTCCTCTGTCACCACATAATCAGCACCTAAAGACATTAGATACTTTTTCAGTCTTTCAAAGTCAGGACGATCTCGAACAATATTAACAGTCTTAAAATTCCACTCTTTGGCCAACTGAATGACATTGATACCTACTCCACTGTTTGCACCATTTTGAATGACAACATCACCACTTTTCAAGTCCACATAGTCTTTTAGCATACGATATGCAGTACAGGGGTTCACAGAAAGAGTTGCAGCAGACAGCAGAGGGATGTCATTCGGTATCTTGATAACATCTTCTTCAAGTGCAACTTTGTAATTCCGCCAAGTACCCCAAGCTGTATCTGCAGGTATTATCCAGTCCCCTTCACTGAGCCCTCTGACATCCTTCCCAACACCAGCGATTTTTCCTACCCCTTCGTTTCCCATAACAGCGGGGAGTGGAGGTTGAACAAAATACGTCCCCTCAATCATGTTTATGTCTGATGGATTGATTGGCGACATCATCATCTTCACAAGAACCTCGCGTGATGCAAGTGGAGAAGCAATTTCGATAGAAGCATTCTTCAGAACCTCATTCGGATCCCCGCATTCCTCAATGAACAACTGGCAGGAACTCAAACCTCTTTGCACTAGGGTTTTACGAATGCCGTTTGAGAGGATTGTCCTCCACAAAAGTCGGCACGGATGTTTTCCTATGGAGGCCGCCATGTTGGAATGTTATGTTGACATCGGATGCAGCAACTAATGCCGAACCACGCATGCCCGGGAGCATAGCAACAGGAACAACAAGATGGCCGCTTGCTGTGCAAGGCCTTAGTGTTGTTGTCTCAGGAGGAATAATACTTGTACCTTTGAGAAACTATAGTTGATCGAAGATGTCGAAAGCTGGTAAGCGGGGTAAAAGTGGCGACGTTAAAGGTGGTCCTGCTGGAGGCGGAAAGTGGGATCAAGTTTTGACGTCGTGTGCATTTGAAGAGGTGAGCGATAGCAGCTGTCGGTCACATTTTCATTTATATTTGTAACTCTACATTCTATTTTGTTCTAGATCTAGAGTCTAGATCTATATAGGGTAGTATATTCAACAATTAGATGTATATGTGTCTATTTCATGCATTAAAAAATGTTCGTTCCATTTTTATTTTAGGAGAATAGATCTAGATCTACGTCTAGATCTAGAGCTAGATTCTAGTCATTAAAAAATATTTCATTAAAGGGAACTTAAGTGGCTTCAATCAGACTTAAGAGCAAAGTTCTGGCTTTTTCTCTACCACTGCTCTGGTGGTTTTCCCACTTTAATTTTAACTTTAAGTGGAAAAAAATATGCAAAGGTGATTGAAAAGAAAATCATTTGATGTGTTTAGGGATTTTAGCTGTCATCTGAGGAGCCAGGTTTTTTTTGGGTTTTTTCATTGCCTGCAGTATCTGTGTTGTAGTGCAAGATAAATTTGACAAGAATTTTAAGTGCATAATTCAGCTCATCATTGATGAGCTCAAAAAGTATTATTAACTCCTTATCTCCTGCAAGCTGCAGTAGCTTGTGGTTGGAACCCCTACCAGTAATTAAGCCGCTGGCAGCGGCTCGTGAATATTCTTTTTTGACGACTTTGGCGTTAAATTATTTTTTCGACAATTGCAGAAAACAGGTCTCTTTTACCAGGAGTTCATTCATTAGACGAAGAAATATCAAAATAGATTCTCTTGTTCTGATTTAATGACCAATTTAGAGACGTATATGTCACTTATAGATTTCCTACCAAAAGGAGCCGTGTCATAGTGGGTTTACCCCCCTCAAAGATTTAATATAATTGACACGAAGAAATGAAATTCAAAAAGCATTTTTGCTTGCAATTTTTACTTTAGTTTATAATATTGAGACCTCCAAGAGTATATGCCCCGTTGAAGTGATAATGTAGCTCCAGTAGGGCTAGGAAAAAGTTTTATTCTTTAAAAAACTGTGTGCTGGATGAGTTTTGAGTTGGTTCATGGCCCAGCGATATTGGAGTCTTTTTTGGTTGTTTTTTTTTGTTTTTTGGAGGGGGTGGGGGAGTTGTTTGTTTGTTTGTTTTGGGGGTTGCAATTTGCATCGTATTGGCAAGGTCAAGTGCCTGTATTTCATGATGTTCATCTACTTAATTAACTTTTATCCTGCGTGAATAGCTAAATGAAAGAACAATTCAAGCAAATAAATCTGTTTCAAGTTTTCATGCATTTTCAACATTTTCCTCTCTCTTTTCTCACCGCAGGAGTCTTGGAATCCGTGCTTGACCTGGATTGTAGGTCGGCAGGCTGAAGATTTCAAGCACATAGAGGCACTCAACACCATTGTACAGACAGGGTCACGCAAGTTATTCTCTGTTGTCACCAAGGAGCAACTATTCACTGATGTGAGTGAAAATATTGGATTTTTTTCTATTTAACTTGCATGCTTACCAAGAAGGCTTAGGTTTTATTGATAAGTTTTCTATAATATATTGAAATGCTTTCTATAATTTGAATGTTGTTGTTCCCTTTAAGCTTTTGTGGCTGCTGCATTGATGTCAAATGAAAAAAAATGCTGATTATTATTTATGTTCAGTAGTTCTTAGCTTTGAAATAGATAAAAGGTTTGGGGAGCTTTCTACTTGCTCGCTTCATGTTTATTTTTCCTGTTACAAACATACAAAGATACAAATCTGATGGAGAAGTGCCTTCAGTCAAATTTTCATTAATATGATATCTAGGCTTTTTATATCTCTTGAATTTAGAGAATAAGCCAGGAAACCTCAGAATAAGCCAGAAATCCTCCTGTTTGCAAGAAAATTGTTGAATCAGATAACAAGATTGAAAACTGTTTACTCAGATAATATGATTTTGAATTTTTGTTCAGGTACGAGATCTCGGAAATCCAAAGAATAAGAAGACCAAAGAGATTCCCGCCAACTCTGAAGTGTGTGAAGCTTGCAAACCATATCTAGATGCTGGTGATCCCATCCCAGTCCCTCTTCTGGCTAAGCTCATAAAATGGAAACTTATGGCCATCAAAGCGGCTGACTTGAAGCGCAGAGAACTGGAAACAAAGGTAAACTTTCAGAGTTTAAAAAAATCACTTTTTTAAATTTCAGGGAACAAAACTGTTAGTGGACACACTAATTGTCCATATTGACTGCTTATTGTAAAACTCCAACGTAAGCCATTTTGAAAAGTGACGTAGAACAGAGTCTTACACTGAGCAGTCTATATGTGTCACGATGAAGTGGAATCTGGCGTTCATTAATGTTTGGGAATGTGGAGATTTTGGCATCATCTTAAAGCTTGTTCATTTGTTTAAATTTCGAGGAAAAAAATTCCTAAATACCTTTAACTGAAGTTGAGATACTTGCGATCGAAGGAGGAGGAGGTCGCCTGGTTTTAGAGATTAAGTTAGTGAGAAAATGGCCCCCCTGAGATGGTTATTTCCTTAGTTTGATAGATGTTGGAAACTGAAAATTTACACTTTTGTGCCTTTAGTCATTGTTTTTCAGTAAAATCCACAAAGAAATGTGTTTTTAAATGGACATAAAGGTGATGGGCCAAAAAACAAAAATTCGATAGTAATTGCCAAACCTGCAGAAAATATGCCGGTTTCTTTGATTGCATTATTTTGATGAGCGCCTGATTTCAATTCAATGCCTCACATATGTTGTTGTATATGAGGTATTTTTTGCATCAGTATGAATGCTTCGTATACAAGCAAGTACATGCTTCTGCCTGAAATTGCGTGTGTGAGTGTGTATGTGTGTGTGTGTGTGTGTGTGTGTTTTGAAGGTGTAGATGCATTTGTGAACCAGTATGTGGGCCTATATATGTTTTTGTGTGTGTGTGTGTATGTGTATGTTTAGGTGTGTATCATTGTGTGTGTGTGTTCATATGCTTGTGTATGTGTAGTTGCATGAATGCCTCTATCTGTTTGTCTTTTATGTGTATGTATGCATGTGTGTGTGTTTGTGTGTGTGTGTGTGTGTGTTTGTGTGTGTGTGTGTATGTGTGTGTGTGTGTAGGCCTATGTATGTGTGTGTGTGTGTGCACGTCTCTATGTTTGTATGTGTGTGTATCTGCTTATGTGTGTGTGTGTGTGTGTGTGTGTGTGTGTGCGCATGTGTGTGTGTGTGTGCACACATGTGTTTAAGTATGCATTTGCAAGTTTTTCTATTTATGTATCTGTATATGTGTCTGTGTATGTGTATCTATTTCTGTGTTTTGTTAGTGGCTTGGAATGAATTCAAAAGATGTTAGTTTGCCAACTTCTCTTTGTGTCTGTGCATTTAATTTTGTTTGAGAACACTCACAGGTATTGCTGTTTTTAGTTCAATTAGAAGAGCACTGCTTTGTGCAAGAGCTATTTTTTTCCAGCACTCTTTGTGATTTTTTTCGTTTAAAATCCTTTATTATTCACAGAGTGTTTATATAACAGGGAAGAATCTTGAATATGTCGTGATGTGTTTTTGTGCAAATAGCTGAAGATAAGAAAATGCTTATAATGATGCACATATGATTACTAAATCAGAGCCTTAACTCTAGTGAATTTTATATTACCACAGACAAACTGAATGAGAATAGAAATATTTCATATTTGATATTTTGCCTATTTCATCTTACTAAAAGAATTAATCTTTTTTTGCCAGGTGCACATGCTGTAGTGTGATAGATAGAGAATGTTTATTTCAGGACAATTACTTTTGTGTGTGTGTGTGTGTGTATGTGTGTGTGTATGTGTGTGTGTATGTGTGTGTGCATTCGTGTGTGTGTGTGTGTGTGTGTGTGTGTTTGTATGTGTGTAAGTGTGTTTGAATGTATATATGCATGCATGTGTGTATGTATGTGTGTGAGTATGTACGTGTGTGTGTGTGAGTGTGTGTGTGTGTGTGTG